GTACTAACGGTTTATGTGACCCGAACAGTAAGGGTCATAACCCAATCTTTGGAAACCAACACTTCCAAATATCTGATGATTGTCATATGTTGACGACTTACCATCCAAAACCAAGCCGGGCTAAATTTAAACCACACTTACACTTAGATCTTTGAACAAAAAAGTCTCAAGACAAAACAAAGGTTGCTTTCAAACAAAACCTTAAGTCAAATAGAAAGAAAAAATAGAGGCTTCCGATTCGAATACGATCAGTAAACCGTTCCAAAGGGGTTAAGCTAGGATTCGAATACGATCATGTAGCCTCCAGTGGCTTTTGCGTTGCGCCGATCAAGAGGGTATCGACAGCTATGTTCTCTTTGGTTCGAATACGACCTATGTTTGAACAGGAAGCCCCCAAATGACCTTGAGAGTTTTTGAACGACTCTGATTCGAATATGATCAAAGTCGGACCCAAAAGGGGTTAAGCTATGATTCGAATACGATCAAGAAGCCCCTAGTGAGTTTGGCAGTGTGCCGATCAAGAGGGTATCGACAGCTATGTTCTCTTTGGTTCGAATACGACCTATGTTTGAACAGGAAGCCCCCTAGTGATCATGAGGTTGAATGGCTAGATTCGGATACGATCATGAGCCGGACCAAGAGGGTTAAGCTAGATTCGAATACGACCTGCCCCCAATTGGTCATTTGAATTGATAATGATGAAGACATATGATCATTGAGGATGAAAAGGACAGAGGTCCTGCTTTATTATTTATCATAATATATACATCGTCAAAATAAGTACATCATGAGAGCCGGTGGCTTAGGTATAATAAGGCCGAAGATGAGCGATATTCCACGGCCGGCGGGTCTCCTCCTCCGACTTACGCGAGTCTTTGTGCTCTCGAACGTCAATAAGGTAGTATGACCTGTTATTCAAGTTCTTGCTGACCACAAAGGGCCCTTCCCAAGGTGGGGATAACTTGTGTGCATCAGTTTGATCCTGGATGAGCCGGAGCACCAAATCTCCCTCTTGAAAGGTTCTGGACTTAACCCGGCGGCTGTGATAACGGCGCAGGTCCTGTTGATAAATCGCCGAGCGGGCTGCTGCCAAGTCACGCTTTTCATCTAGCAGGTCAAGTGCATCCTGACGGGCCTGTTCGTTATCAGCTTCAGCGTAAGCCGCCACACGGGGCGAGTCATGACAAGTCTTAACCTTGTGGTCGTGGGTTCGAGCCCCACGGTGGGCGCCAACTGTCATGGATTGTCACGTCAGATGTCCTAGTGAAAGGACTTAGTCGTGGAGCCATCGCAACTAGGAAGCTTAAAGGGGTTAATCATGACAAAGGACACGGGGTTTATACTGGTTCGGCCCCTTACGATGAAGGTAAAAGCATACGATCCAGTTTTGAGTGGGATTACTTATGTCTCGATTACCACGGAGCGAAATCGCTTGACCTAGCTCTCGATCTGATGTTATTTGCCCTGAACCGCCGCCGGGTCGTCCCTTTATATACAGAGGTCGACGCCCAGCGGCTCACAGAGTCCCGACCGGCTCATAAACAGTGTTCGGCTCGGTCTCTAAACTATTCTTGCCTTACAATACAAATTATACATATGGCGGTTTATCTCTATGGGCCTTAAGTTGCCTTTGGGATTTTGGCCCTGAACTGAACCGCCATCTTTAAACGTCGTCTTGGGCTTCATGTCACGAGTCGCCATAGGTATAACCCGGCCCCTCCTGGGCGGGTCATACCTAATAGTTATATCCCCAACAAGATTGAACCCAAAGCTAAGCACTTCTCCCATTGCAAGAAAGATCAATCTAGTAGGCCCAACCAAACTGATAATTCGAAGAGACTTGCAAAGATAACTAATCACACATAAAAGAATTCAGAGAAGATTAAATTATTTCTCATAGATAAACTTGATCATAAACCCACAATTCATCGGATCTCGACAAACACACCGCAAAAAGAGTTACATCGGATAGATCTCCAAGAAGATCGAGGAGAACTTTGTATTGAGATTCAAAGAGAGAGAAGAAGACATCTAGCTAATAACTATGGACCTGAAGGTCTGTGGTAAACTACTCACAACTCATCGGAGAGGCCTTGGAGATGATGTAGAGGCCCTCCGTGGTCGATTCCCCCTCCGACGGAGCACCGACGAAGGCTCCAAGATGGGATCTCGCGGATACAGAAGGTTGCGGCGGTGGAAATAGTTTTTCGTGGTGCTCCCTGATGTTTTCAGGGTACGGGAGTATATATAGGCGAAGGAGGTAGGTCAGGGGAGCCACAAGGGGGCCATGAGGGTGGGGGGCGCGCCCACCCCCCTAGGGCGCGCCCTCCTGCCTCGTGGCCGCCTCGGCTGATTCTTGACGTCCACTCCAAGTCTCTTGGATTGCGTTTGTTAAAAGATCGCTCCCGAAGGTTTCATTCTGTTTGGACTCCGTTTGATATTCCTTTACTTCGAAACACTGAAATAGGCAAAAAAAACAGCAATTCGGGCTGGGCCTCCGGCTAGTAGGTTGGTCTCAAAAATGATATAAAAGTGTAAAGTAAAGACCATAAACATCTAAAACGGGTAATATAATAGCATGAAACAATTAAAAATTATAAATACGTTGGAGACATATCAATGGCCACGTTGGTGGCTTGGTTGCGGGTGGTCAGCGGAGCTAGGGTGCGACGGAGGGATGTGATCAATGGGGCACATCACTTGCCCAATCCTTGTACTAGCCGATGGTGGCGGCGTCTGTTGACGTTGTATGCTTCCCAAAGGCTCCGTTATGGCGTTCCCACTCCTTTCGTCTTGCTCCGAGTGAAAATTTGATCCGCGGGATTGGGCGGTGGCGGCTATCCGTGGTCGTACCCTTCTGGGAGGCATCGTTTTGGAGTCCTAGCCTCGTCGTTGTCTGTCTCACCTCTCCGTTGTGGATTGCTCATGATGGAGATCTCTCTTGGCTCCAAGCTGTCTTCTTCGCTCATCTTTAGTTAGCTTGATAGTCGGTGGAGTGGTGTGACGGTGCCCGGCACCTTTGTATCTTACCTTGGGTGTGTGTTATGTACGGTGGTGGCATGTGTTCATATCGGTCTGCTCGGATGTAATGCGGTGATGGTTGCTTTATACTATAAAGTGGGAACCTTTTTTTGTCCTTTTACTCCATATATAAAATTTGACTGGATTCAAATTTTGTAAAATTTGACCAACTTTATATTTAAAAAATATCAGCATCTAGAATACAGAAGATATACAAAATTAATTCCATGATACATCTAATGACATTGACTTTATATTGTGAATGTTTATATATATTTTTATATAAACTTGATCAAAGTTTATGAAGTTTGACTTCAGTTAAATTTTAAATATAGAGTAAAAAAGAAATAGAAGGAGCAGATTGTTAGCCTTTAACTTGTATTATTATTTTTATACTCCCTTGGTCCTATCCGAAACGGCTTTCGTGGTTCAACCGAACGATGAAAGACATGTAGCATCATTTCAGCGCCTTGCCGTTTTAGCATAAATAAAATAATAGAGAACTCAATAAATTTGTCAAAATGTGAAGTTAAACAACCATGATCTTTGGGAAAATATGAAATTCCTGAAACTCTTGATACTGACGCATTGTCTTTCACGATACAACCTCTATTCATAGGCAGATGCTCCCAATTGTGCGAGCGATTTATTGTGGCCTAAAAGGATAAGCAATCCCTTGACACAACCTCTTTCACGACACAACCTCTTTCCTTCCGGCGGGGATGGAGCTCAATCATTAGGCTGGTGTTAGAGGACAACTACAAATTTTTAAAATGCTTCACTAAATTAGTAGTACTAATACTAAATATTGGTGGAATTTCTTTTCTCTCTTCGTCCCTGCTTCCTAATGTGCCATGAGGCTTATTCTCGGCCTGCTTAACACGCCCAGCTTATCGTCTTTCCCTCAATGGAATTGTATCATGATTGGCTTCTTATCCTTATGCTCCCCCCTCTCAATTTTTTTTGAAACGGAGACAAAAAATTTGTATCATCGATTATTAATTAAAGTGAAGAGAATTGCCAAGTTAATTAACGGAAAACCAGGCAAAAATCGATACAAAGCAACCACATACGGACTACCCATACCCAACACGCAATGACCAGTATTTCTACATCGCAAAGAAAACCCCAACCAAAGTACCTCAACCGAAGACCATAGACATCGCCAAACCCTCTAAGACAAGTCAGGCCCTAAGGACAACCCAATAGACAGACCATCCATCGGGCAGCCCTGGATGCCTTTTCTGTGGCTCCGCTCTTCTTGCTTTTGCTTCTGAGAGCCTTCTCCACAATGACAATATAGTGCGCATTAAATTTTTATGAAGTCAAACTTCATTTTTTTATCAAGATTACAGGAAAAAATCATCAACATCTAGAATGCTAAATCAATACCGTACCATTAGGTTCATCATGAAATATATTTTATATGGTATGTATTTTGTATTATGGATATGGATAATTTATGTATATTAAACTTGGTCGAAGTTTGTTAAAATTAACTTTTGCAAAAACCAATGCGCAAGTGACTGAGCGGCTATTATCTATTATTAGTTCTTTTATTTGTATAAGTATTCAATCCTAGTTGAAAATGCTGAAGACTTTACTTTTTTTTTGCATGGCTGAAGACTTTACTTGGCGGATATCCCGAAGCTGTATATACGCATAAGCTAAAACCATCCTTCTATCACCCGCAAAAAAAAAAAAAATCCCTCTACCGACTGCTGTAGCACAACAGAGCTTGAGCTGGGCAGAGCTGTTCATGCAAGGGCGCCGCGCGGTGGCACCACTGTGCCACCTTTAATTTCAATGACAACGCTATCGATCATGCATCGATCGGTAAAGCCTATTTAAATGAAGGTAGCCAGTGCTTGCAATTGCATAGCACCACTACTGGCACGTGTGATAAGGGTGTAGTACGTACCTACATACGGCGAGCAAGTCCCTACACGCTAGTGGCGTTGAACCGGCCGTCGGTCGAGATGGCATCACCCATCGGCGTCTGTGACCGGCGGGAGGCAAGGTTGTGCGCAGTGACCGGCGGGCGGGGGTTCATGGCGAGGCACTTGGTGGCGGCGCTGCTCCGCTCCGGCGAGTGGCGGGTGCGCATCGCCGACCTCGCCCCTGCGGCCACTCTTGAACCTGCCGAGGAGGAGGGGATCCTCGGCGCTGCCCTCCGGGACGGCCTTGCTGTGTACACCTCCGCCGACGTCTGCGACCTACCCCAGCTTATCCAAGGTACGTAGTTCGTGCTTTGTCTACTGCCGCTTGTTTCAGTTAGAAGCCAACTTTTTTTCTTTCTTTTAATCATATATACGCATACCGACGGTTTACAGATTTTTTACGGACTGAATAGAAATGAAGGCCTGGGGTTAAATCAAGAGGCGGGCCTACTAGTAAAGGCAATTAGAATAGCATGAGCACACAAGTCACCCCTCCCATACTTTCAGTTAGGGCCCCCAAGCTATGGAGAGCAACTAGTTGACGAGTGCTTTTTCGGGAGCCTCGCAACGATCATTTACGGTGGAAGTGACGCGCTCTCAGCCACCGCCACGTGTCACGTCCTGAACGCTTTTTTTAGATTTTTTTTAGCTTTTTGCACGCGTTTTCTGCTTTTTAGATGATCTTTTTCGGTTTTTCACCGGTATTTCTTAGCTTTTTGAAATAAAAAAATTTGCACGAAAAAACTTTTTTTTCCTTCCTTAATAGGCATGGTTTTGCTTCCAGGAGAGACATGATTCTGATTCCGCGAGAGACAGCAAGAGGCTGTGCCTCTCGAAAATGGAAAAAGAAATGTGTTTTCACTTCTTTTTCTTCTTCCGTGATAGACACGGTTTTGCTTCCATGAGAGGCACGACCGTGCCTTTCGAAAAAAAATCATGTGTTTTCTCTTTCTTTTTTTCTTTCGTGAGAGGCACGTTTTTGCTTCCGCGAGAGGCGTGCCTCTCGGAAACGGAAATAAATACGTGTTTTTTTTGTGAGAGGCACGGTTTTGCTTCCGCGAGGGGCACGACCATGCCTCTTGGAAACGACTTTTAGAAAGGGAAAAAAACATGCTCCTGCTTCATTTCTTGCTTTTTCTTTCGTGGAAAAAATCATTAAAATCTATCAACATGGGATCTAGTTTTGAAAACCTCAACGCGAGGAATCCAACAGTGAAAACGGTTCGAGATTTGGACGCACAGTCTAAGAGATAATACATTTTGAATAAAAAGATCTATGAAAAAAGAAAATACCCTGACAAGTGACGCACATGTAGCGCCACTTGTTACAACCTAGTGAGAGTGATCTTTGAAAGGAGTACGCCTCAATTAGTAATTTCGGTAGCTCTGGCATTATCGGATTTTACTCCACTATATTATTGACGGGCTTTGCTACACCTACGTAAATTATTTTCGTAACTTACGTCCTGACTGACTTGGCCTAATTTGATTGGAGGAAAATTTGGGCCTACGCCCACGCCGTGAAACTCAGGGGCTGATTAGTTTAGAAAGGAAAGGACGTAAGTTTACCCAGAAAGATTACATAGGTCTAGCATTATTGATTATTGATCATGACAATCAAACTTTTTTCATGACAAATTATGTTTTTCGAGGATGGCTAATTTAGTTGACGAGCATGGCAAATCTGTCTCACTTCATTTTCTCATCAGAAAATTGTTGTGCTTGCACATTAAATTTATCATACCGCGTCAATATAAATTACTATAGAAAAATTAGATTTAATGCCTACAAATCTGATATCAATTTTTTAGTGTTTTAAATCTAACAACAATCTGGTAGAATAATACTAGTACTAAAAACATACTCCCTCCATTCGGAAATACTTGTCGGAGAAATGGATGAATCTAGATGTATTTTAGTTATAGACACATTCAATTTTATTCATTTCTCTGACAAGTATTTTGGGACGGAGGGAGTATTTTTCTACGCACTTCTAGAAATCTTTAGTCAGCACGTGTTGGTGCAGGGATTGATGATGACTAGTCTACCACCACTTATAAAAGCATGATTTTGATAAATCCAAATGATCTTATATGGTCATTTAACCATCTATATCCAACGTCGTCACATCACCATCACATCATCAAGATCTTGCCGTGTCGAGAAGCTAATAATGAAGGACGTGACCCATCTTTTGAGTGGAGAAATGAAAGCGCCGCTGCAGCCTGCGGGACCGCAACTGGTGCAAAGTGACTAGAGCCAAACTAGCACACGGCATAGCTTGGATTTCCAAATCGGACAAATCTTATGGACATCCGTAGAACTATTAACGCAGCTTCAGTGACTTTGTGAAGTGAAGTCATGCAACGCCTTAGCCCTCAACATCCACCACTCATTTCACATCCAAGGCTCAGTATTCACGCAAGGCAAAAAAATAACAAGACTTAATAGTTTTCAGCTTGCAAGGATGCACTGGACACTCCAACCTAGAAAATATGTGATCCCTGAACATAGTATGAAACGAAAAACTGAAACGGTTGCAAAATGCAAAAACTAATCCCATTAGACAAGGGGAAAAAATGAACTGACATAACATTGAAAATTGCAATCATTTAACATTCAGTGTACAATCTGTAGCATATCATTGAAATTTTAAAAGAAGAAAACACCGAAAGTCTGAACCAACCAAGGAAGGAAAAAAATGAATAATGTAACATTGAAATTTTGAAAGCATCAAACATTCAGTGTACAATTTTTTTCTGTAGCATACTATTGCAATTTTCAAAGCATCAAACAAACTAAGGGATGCTCCCCAATAAATTCTGAGTGTTGGATGTGGAATGAGTGGTGGATGTTGGGGGCTAAGGCGCAGCATGACTTCACTTCACTGAAGCTGCTTCCTAGACGAATAAGGGAGAGTAGCGGGAGTGGGAGGCGATGAGGTAAGCTCTTCAAGACACTATCAATTTTGTGTGTTTGCACGTGCACAATTACTAGTTAAATCCTAACTAGAATGCAGAACGAGACGGATTAAGTTAGAACTGGCAGAAACAAGGCAGAATTGCACAAACAAAAGCAATGCGTTATCTTTTCTTAGCAGAAAAACAATGCTTTAATTATCTGGTCCAAACAAGATGTATGTTGCGTGAATTTCCATTCCCCGGAATGTCTATTTATTTGCAAACGAAAATTAACATGCCAAAACAGCATCCATTTTGGGCCAAAGTTTAACCAATTCTTCACTTGGTACTGCTTTTTGTTTTTTAGGGCAGGCCTTCATGACTATCTTTACTGAAATGAAATGTAACAAATTTGTACCCGGACATCCGACCGTATCAGCTGTAGTACACCCTCCGGTCCTTTTTACTCTGCATATTAGATTTGTGTCAAGTCAAATTTTGCAAAGTTTGACCAAATTTATGTTAAAAAGTATTAACATCTACAATACCAAACATATATGTTATGAAACTAAATTTCATAATGAATCTAACTATTGATTTGGCATTGAAAATGTTGGTATTTTTTTATAAGTTTGGTCAAAGTAAAGATAGATTAACTTTGGAAAACTTATATATGCGCACTAAAAAGGACCGCAGTGGGTACTATACAATAGGCTGAAAACCTCCTTGTCCGGATGATGCACGCGCATGCACTTAGTGTATGGGCGAAACAGATTGGCCATTGTGATCCAAAGTAGCATGCTTAATTAGAAGGTTTAATTTATATAATATTCTACTCTGCAGCTTTCGAAGGGGTAGAAACTGTTTTCCATACGGCTGCGGCTGATCCTAGGAAGAACGACTTCCAGCTTCACTACAAGGTCAGCGTCGAGGGTAAGTCAAATTAACCGCCTAAAAGGACGTGTAGTATCTTTTTTCTGGGCCAAAAAAAAGACACCACAGTCCTTTTACTCCGTAGTTTGGAATGCTAGCCTGCCAACTCAATAAGCCAGGACAGATTATGCTGTCGTCTGTGGACATATAAATGATTTATGCATTCTTAATTTACTCAGACATTTCTCCTTCCTGGTGCACAGGGACGAAGAATGCCATCGAAGCTTGTACCACATGCAAGGTTAAAAGGCTCATATACACTAGTTCGAGCTGTGTTGTATTTGATGGAGTCCATGGCCTCTTTGACGTGGATGAATCAACGCCATATCCAGATAAGGTTATCCGGAAAATCAAATGCATTAATCAGTTTTAGTACCTTGCTCGCTGCGCAGTTTTATTTTCCAGGGGATGCTCGCTACAAGCAGTGTAAAAAGAAATTCGCAATGATAGTACCAAACAGTAAACTTCACTATTCATTGTTTTTTATAACCTTATAAATGAATTTGTGTTTGAACTTGGAATTTCACATGTTGATTGAACAGGACTCACCTGCCTTTGTAATGACTGACATGTGAGTCCCATAACAGGCTGGCCCACATGTCAATGAAACAAAGTCAAGTGATTTAAATTAGAGGATCTGCGTTCGATTGAACATCACCATCTTAATATTAAATCATACACATACCGCATCAAGTTTGTCATTTAAATTGCAGGCATACCATTAAATCACCAGTGGTGCTGAAAAGGTAAGAAACGCTCATGCCTATTAATCTTCTTGTGCATTAACCAGAACTTTTTTATAAATTCCAAGTGGGGTAAATATGTAAATTAGTCTTCGTGTGATGGTCATTTCTAATGGAAATCCTGCTATAGAGAGTGTACATGTGGAAATCCAATTTGGCTCCCAGGAGCACGTGCTCTTGGGCTCAAAAATGATTTTTGAAATGTCATAAAATATCCCAGAATTTTTTTTGCGTATTCATAGTCACATCCAAATGCTACCTGCAAAGTTTTAGAAAAAAAAGATTAACATTTTGGCCTGTGAAAAAAAAATTGAACAGCAAATGCTACCCCAAATATCACCCCTAAATTTATTTTTTTACCAACGAAACACTACTACTGCGTTTCGCATGAAAATTGTTAGCATACTTGCGACACTAATAAAACATCCATAGAAAAATTCAGGATTTTTTGAAAATATTTTACTACTTTTATTTGCATTACTCCCTCAATTCCCTTATACAAGGCCACAAACTCAAATCACATGTACCAAGATAAAATCTAATGACTGCTTTGCAAGCCAATTTTTTTTGTTAACCGGGATCATTAATACGCCCATATGCATGCAAGGAAGGATTGGGAAGGAAGTAGCATAGTGTCATTATGACTACATGCATGCAAGTATTAAACAAGTTGATAGTACAAGGAAACATCATTAATTTTTGCCTCGATTACTGTTAGTGGCCTTGTATAGATGCAAAATGTATTCTTCATAGTGGTCTTGTATAAGGGAATAGATGGAGTACTATTCATCCAAGTGCAAATGCTCCCGGGAGCCAAAACACCTCCCCCATGTACACGCATGTATGCAAGAATCTTTCACCTCATGCTTACATCGCCACATTAATTGCATTTTTGAATTGTTAAAATGACTTACCTCACAAACCGTTAATCCGATTAGCGAGCCAACTTCAGTTTCGCCGAGCTTCAAAATAAGATCCATGTTTTCACATGCCAACAAAAAACTTAGTGCCATTGTTGCCACATTATAGTATAGTGGTTGCCATGTTAGAAACGAACATTTACCACAATAATTTTGTATGGTTACAAGGTACAATTTGCATGTTTTTAGGCATTGTAATGTCATGTAGAGCTAGAGAATAACTATTTGGGTGATACCAACAAATAAAAGGCGGTAGCATATAACTAATAGTATCATGCCAGTCTTACATGGATGGAAAATAACATTCAGTAACTTGGTAACCAAGTTGCTATGATTCGATAAGTATATGGCTATAACCTGATTATAACCTAGTAAATAAGTGAAAATAATTTGGCAATTGCAGGTGATTTTTTTTAAAAAAAAATTAAATTTATTTCACAAGTACATATACACCCTCTTGACGCACATGTAAAGTTTCATAAAGTAATATCTTTATTTGAGGGCAACACACTAAAACACAAATATGTGGATCTGTAATAGATTGTGGTATTACAATTATAGTTCCATATATTTGTCTTTTTGTGCAGCCCACAAACAAACCATTTATTAACAAAAAAAATTACAAGCACGTAGATCATACCTAGATGTACATTTGATTTATTTTCCAAAATTTCAACTTTAAAACATGATTATTAGTTGTCAAAATTCAGGGATCCAATGCACTTGGTGGCAAAATGCCTCTCTCATAAAGATACAAAAGTCTATTCCATATTTTCTAAGAAGCAAGTTCTATTGTAAATTGTGAGTGATATGCCTTCTTAGAGAAGAGTTACTTTCTTAGGTAAGACTAGAGAAAAATAGAGTGCATCTCTAGCAAGGGACATAGAACAAAGAGGGTTAGCCTCGTGCTGAGAAAGAAATGCGTGTGTGTCGGAAGGGGGACAAAGAAGTTTGTTGCTTGATTGTTCCATTACAATTTTTTGTGGCAAGGATAACACTTTATTGTCGATGATATTGTTAATACAGAGGAAGAGGAGGGGAATTAGATTAGTTGGACCGCTTTTCATAACATTTCACCTTTCCCTTTTCCCCTATTTTTCTATTTATTTCTTAATTTCCTTTTCCAATATTTTTTGGTCTACTTTATTATTTTTATTTCATTTATTAATTTTTTATTTGTTCCACCAACACAATTTGGTATCATTGCAAAAATTCCAGTGATGTTATTTACACAAAATTTCTAGGCAATTCTATTCATCAGTCTATATGGCTTATTTATTTATAATTTTGTTTCCACATATTCACCCGTTTGAGATATTCTATGTGCTTTTAAAGAATGTTCAGCTATGAACTTTTCATGTTCACATGTACTCCCTTCATTCCTAAATATTTTTCTTTTTAGAGATTTCAACAAGTGACTACATACAGAGCAAAATGAGTGAATCTACACTCTGAAATATGTCTATATACATCCGTATGTGGTAGGCCATTTGAAATCTCTAGAAAGACAAATATTTAGGAATGGAGGGAGTATGAATGATTGTTTTTTAATAGTATTTATTTTATGTAAGAGCACATTCATTTCGAATAAATGAACATTTTATGTTGATATTTTATTCATTCATAATGTTCTTATCTACCTTAAAAAATCATAAATTGTCTATATATCTATTAGATATACAAGAATTTGCTCCATAGATGTAGATCATATATGTAACGAGTATTGTGAGGTAAAGTAGTAATCAAAGAAAATGGTATCCATAATACATATAGCGTAAAGTCATATTTCGCATTGTATCTCATTTTAAATTTTATTATTCCTCATTTTATGCGATCCATATGTATGTACCATTGAGAATGGTTATATGGCCCATCCCAAAATTTGTTATTTCATTAGCACTTTTTTCTTGCTTACACAAGTTGGCATAAGTACGTGGTATGAAGTCTGTGCTTTGTCTAACTATATTATTGTTTGTTTGCTATTAGTTTCCCGATGCATACTTACATACTAAGGCAGAAGCTGAGAAGCTAGTGATGAGGGCCAACACAAACGGTGGCCTTCTCACTTGTTGTATACGTCCTAGTTCCATTTTTGGTCCTGGGGGTATATTGGTGCCATATTTAGCTGCTTATGCGGCAACGATGGTATGTTTATGCATATATAATCATATCATAAAAAGTGTATAGATTTATTTTATTACTAATAGGCTTTAACCCCCCC